AGAGCTGGATCTCAAATCAGGGAGATCTGAGTTCACATCTTGCCTCGGACACTCTAGCTGTGTGACACTGGTCCACTCATTTAACTGGATTAGGGGATAGAGCACTATTCTTGGAATCAGGAAAACGTGAGTTCAGTGCCTCAGACATTCACTAGCTATGTGAACCCGCACAGATCACTTAACCTCTCTCTGCTTCAGTTTCCTCATCTATAAAATGAATGAGCTGAACTCGATGGTTTCTAAGATCCTTCCCAGCTCCAAGTCTAGTATCCAATAACATGGCAACTTAATGTTCCTCACCGATGACATTCCCTTCTCTTCCTTTATGATGCACTTCAGGCACCATCTTCTACATGAAGACTTTCCTGATCCTTCCAATTGCTTGTGCCCTCTTTCCTAAACTACCTTGTATTTAACTTTATGTGTGTGTACATACGTACATAAAGCATTAACTTTATATATGCTATGTAGATATATATTTTATTTTTTTTATTTTTTATTAATAAATTTATTTATTTTTAGTTTTCAACATTTACTTCCACAGGATTTTGAGTTCCAAATTTTCACCCCATCTTGCCCCTCCCCCACCCCAAGATGGCATGCATTCTGAATACCCCTTCCCCTAGTCTGCCTTCCCTTCTATCTCTCCCCTTGTTCTCTTATCCCCTTCCCCTTCTATTTTCCTGTATGGCAAGATAGATTTCTGTACCCCATTTCCTATATTTCTTATTTCCCAGTTGCATGTGAAAACATTTTTTTAAACATGTGTTTTTAAAACTTTGGGTTCCAGATTTTCTCCCTTCCTCCCTCCCCACCCACCCTCATTGAAAAGTCAAACAACTCAATATAGGTTATACACGTGCAGTTATGCAAAACACTTCCATAGTAGACATGCTGTGAGAAACTAACTCCATTTCCCTTAATGCTATCCCGCCTCCCCCATTTATTCTATTCTTTCTGTTGACCCTGTCCCTCCTCAGAAGTATTTGCTTCTGGTTACCCCCTTTCCCAATCTGCCTTCCTCTCTATCATCCCCCTACTCACTTGTCCCCTTCCCCCCCATTTTCCTGTAGGGTAAGACAAATTTCCATACCCAATTGAGTGTGTATGTTATACCCTCCTTAAGTCAAATCCTATGAGAATAAGATTCACTCATTTCCTCTCACCTTCCCCCGGTTCCCCTCCACTGTAAGAGCCTTTTCTTTTCTGTTTTTTTGTGAGGTAATTTACCCCGTTCTACCTCTCCCTTTCTCCTTCTCCTAGTATGGTCCTCTTTCACCCCTTAATTTTATTCTCCAGATTATGACCCCTTCATCTTCAACTCGCCCTGTGCCCCCTACCTATCTATCTATCTATCTATCTATCCATACATATAATTCTTTCCCTCCAACTACCCTAATACTGACAAAGGTCTCATGAGTTACAAATATCATCTTTCCATGCAGGAAGGTAAACAGTTCAACCTTAGTAAGTCTCTTATGATTTCTCTTTCCTGTTTACCTCTTCATGTTCCACTTGAGTCTTGTATTTGAAAGTCAAATTTTCTATTCAGCTCTGGTCTTTTCATCATGAATGCTTGAAAGTCCTCTATTTCACTGAATGACCATTTTTTCCCCTGAAGGATTATACTCAGTTTTGCTGGGTAGGTGATTCTTGTTTGTAATCCTGTTTCCTTTCCCCTCCGGAATATTATATTCCATGTCTTACAGTCCCTTAATATAGAAGCTGCTAAATCTTTTGTTATCCTGATTGTGTTTCCACCATATTTGAATTGTTTCTTTCTGGCTGCTTGTAATATTTTCTCCTTGACCTGGGAACTCTGGAATTTGGCTACAACATTCCTAGGAGTTTTCCTTTGGGGATCTCTTTCAGGAGGAGATCGGTGGATTCTTTCAATTTCTACTTCGCCCTCTGGTTCTAAAATATCAGGGCAGTTTTCCTTGATCATCTAGGCTCTTTTTTTGATCATGGCTTTCAGATAGTCCTATAATTTTTAAATTCTCTCTCCTGGATCTATTTTCCAGGTCAGTTGTTTTTCCATTGAGATATTTAACATTGTTTTCTAATTTTTCATTCTTTTGGATTTGTTTTACAGTGTCTTGATTTCTCATAAAGTCACTAGCTTCCAATTGCTCTATTCTAATTTTTAAGGAAGTATTTTCTTCAGTAATCTTTTGGACTTCCTTTTCCATTTGGCCAGTTTTGCTTTTTAGGGCATTCTTCTCCTCATTGGCTTTTTGGACCTCTTTTGCCATTTGGGTTAGGCTATTTTTTAAGGTGTTATTTTCTTCAGTATTTTTTTGGGTCTCCTTTAGTAAGCTGTTGACTTGTTTTTCATGATTTTCTTGCATCACTCTCATTTCTCTTCTCAGTTTTTCCTCTACTTCTCTTACTTGCTTCTCAAAATCCCTTTTGAGCTCTTCCAAGGCCTGGACTGGTTCATATTTTTCTTGGAGGCTTTGGATGTAGGAGCTTTGACTTTGTTGTCTTCTTCTGATTGTATGTTTTAATCTTCTTTGTCACCAAAGTCAAATAATATAGTCTGACTATTTTTGCGCTGCTTACTCATGATCCTGGCCTTGAGTTTTAAAACTTGAGTTTTAAACTCTTTGTTAAGGTAAGAATCTGCTTCCAATGTGGAAAATGTGCTGTCCCAAGCTTCAGGGTTTGTACAGCTATTTTCAGAGTTACTTCTAGGGACCTGTAAATTTTCATTTCTTCCAAGGTGGTATGATAAGGGGCGAGGTGTTTCCTCTCCACTGCCACAACAAGCTGCACCACACTAGCACTCCTCCTTGCCCCAGGACTGCCCCTCAGAACTGTGACCCAGATCCAAGCATGGGCAAAGCAAGAGATTCCTGCCTCAGCCCTGGCAGAGAGATCCCTGCAATCCCCCTCTGATCAGCCACTCGATTCCCCCTCAGTCTGAGCCAGAAGCTCAGGAGGTAGCTGCAGCCTGCTCTCAGGACTTGTGGCTGAAACCCAGCTTCTCTCTCTCACCGCAGTCACAGACTTTTCCTGCTCACCTTCTAAGTTGTCTTTGGCGTTTGTCGGTTGGGAAGTCTGGAAACCGCTACAGCTGCCCGCGATTCAGTCCTCTGAGGCCTGTTCCAGGGTTGCTGCGACCTGCGTGGCCATGCCGCACTGCGCTCCTCTCTCCGCCTGGCGCAATATACCTTTCTGATCAACCATCCAGGCTGTCTTTGACTGGAAATTTGTTTTACTCTGTCTTTTTGTGGGTTCTGCTGCTTTAGAATTTGTTTAGAGCCATTTTTTGTAGGTATTTGGAAGGGTTTGGGGGAGAGCTCAAGCAAGTCACTGCTTTCCCTCCGCCATCTTGGCTCCGCCTCTAGATATATATTGTATAAAGAGACAATTATCTGTCTCTCTATCTACCTACCTGTCCATATGTCCATCCTATCCATTCACCTACCTAGCTGCCTACCCATCCATCCATTTATCCAACTACCTATCTATCCATCTTTCCATCTCTCTGTCTACCTATCTATCATCCATTTGCTTATCCATCTATCTATCCATCCATTCATCCATCCATCTATCTACTCATCTCTCTTTCTCTCACTGTCTCATTCAACCTTTGTCTCTCCCAATAGAATGTAAATGCAAGTAGTGATTGTTTCATTTTTTGTATTTATCTCCAGTACGTAGCACAGAGCCTGGCACATAGCCGGCAAGTAGAAAATACTTGTTGATTGATTGATTGAGTAACAGGAATAGGAATTGAACCTATGATTTCACTGATATAAGAAACTCTCAGAGGAAGAAGGCTGGCATCTTCTTTGCAACTTATAGCCTTAGAGAGTTGCCTAGAATACTGTGAAGTTAAGAGACTTGAACTCATTTCTTCCTGGCTCTGAACTCAGCTCTCTAACTACAATGCCTCTGCCTAATACTGGTAACAATGAAGAGTTCATCTTATTCTGCAGGATATTTTGAATCTCCAACAAAATATTAGGATGCACATACTAGCTATGTGACCCTTGTCAAGTTACTTAACTACAGTACAAGCATTGGCCTCAATGGCCTCCACAGTCCTTTGCAGTTTAGTATCTGTGAGCCTGTGATCCAGGCCTATGGTCTTCTCTAGTTTATAGAAATGTGGGTGTGGTGGGCAAGACACTGGGGGTGTGGGCTTCAGGGAAACAATGAAAGTGGTTTATTATAAGGGTCTGAGAATGTTATTTTTCCATATTACTTTGGGAACCTGATTATCCTTCTATTAAAGGAAGATGAAATTTAGATTAGATAAACAGAACCGAGTTCAGCCTATAAAAGATGATTTGAAATGAAATAAATCATACTTCACTGAGTCATTGTTGGTGCTCCTCAAGTTTGAGAAGGTTATATCATATACTTGGTAAAATTCTGTCATCATTCCTAATGTCCAAAATAATGAGAGGAAATGGAGTTGTGAGGCACATTAAAAACCTGAATTTGGTGAGTATCATTTAATAGGTAAGCTCTGGCTATTTATATGATGCAGTCTGAATTATTTCGCCCCAGGCAATGTTGCATAGTGGACAGATAGGTGGCCTTGATGCCAGGAAGACCTGGGTTCAAGTGCTACCTCAGACACATTCTGGTTTTGAGACCATGGACAAGTCACTTAACCTTTAAGTGTTCTAGGCAATTCTATGAGACTGTAAGTTGTAGAGAAGGTGTTCTGTCTGCCTCCTCAGTCAGCAGTCATTCACTAGGTAGGAAGAGGCCAGGTTGTAAAGGGCTTTAAATACCAAAGGGATGATTTTACTTTTGATCTTGGAGATAATAGGGAGCCATTGAAGGTTATTGAGTAGGGGAATGACATGGTCAGTCCTCCATATAAGGAAAATCACTTTGGAAGAGCAAATTTTCTCATCCTGGTGTTCTCTTTATTAATGAATCACAGGTCCAGTGATTTTCCATGTGTAGTAAACAGCCTACTTATTTTACCTGGTAGTCATGATTGAATTTTTCCTTTCCTCTCTGTTTTCTGGAAGGTATTTGAAGCTGTAATTGCTTGGGTAAACCATGACAAAGATGTAAGACAGGAGCTGATGGCCCGACTGATGGAGCATGTGCGGCTACCTTTGCTTCCCCGGGAATATTTAGTTCAGGTAAGCAAGCCCAAAAGCAGAACAGAAAACTCATAACTCTGGGTCCCAGGCCCAAAGGGCATCCTGGTACAAGATGCTCCATGATTGTATCACAGAGGCTGAACAGGAGGTACCCATTTTGTAGCCCCTAAATCCATGTGGGGCTGATTTTACTGTGTCCATCGTCAGCCCCCTACTTGCTCTTGGCACTTCTGGTTTGGGTAGTTGTATTTCCTATGAAACGAACACTGCATTACTGGTGTAGTCTTGTTTTATTTGCTTTTAACAGGCTCCTAATTTTGGCTATGGAAATGGAACTCTTCAAAGGGATGTCTATCCCTTAAAGAAATAAATTGAGGCCAGTGTTAATTAAAATTACTATGAAATATAATTATTTATAACTGTTGTATATATAATTATATCAGTAATTTCTAGCTGAGAAAACATAATTTACTCTGAATAAAGTAATTACACTATACAAAATTGAAAACTTTGTCCTTTCTTGGTTACGCAACATACTTAAAAATTCTTTTTAATTTCTTTAATCAGAGTCATTGATTAATTCATATTAATTTCAGCTCACTAGAGAGAACAAATCTGAAGCTATGTTTTCTATGTTCTCAGACACACATATGTTCTCATATGCACCATGATTTAATCACTGACACATAATCAAAAAAGCTTTTATTAAATGTTCAGGCTTTTGTGCTAAGCACTAGAGTTCAGATATAAGCAACTAAGTTAATCCTTGCCCTCAGGGAATTTCTAATTCTAATGGGGGTATGACAGCATATAAAGGGAAGATAGAAAAGGTGTGAGTTTGCATGAGCCATCACCATTTGGAAATGATGGAGGTGTGACAGTGAATCCTAATTCCAAGTGAGATAAGGCAAAAGCTCACCCACCAAAGCGCAGAGACAGAATCCTGGGTCTCTTTGGAAGGGATCCGTGGATGGGCCAGACCTAGCAGGGGTGGGGACCCTGTGTCCTCGAGGCCGTATATGGCCTTCTAGATCCTCAAGTGCAGCTCTTTGACTGAATCCAAACTTCACAGAACAATCCCCTTAATAAAAGGATTTGTTCTATAAAACTTGGACTCAGTCAGCAGGCCATACCCAAGGACCTGGAGGGCCATATTGTGGCCTCGAGGCCGCAGGTTCTGGGCCAGAGTGTAGGCGGCCAGAAAGTGAGAAGGTTATTGTAATAGAAGGCAAGAGGTGATGAGGGTGGTTGTGGTTTCAGTATCTCATGCAAAATGTAATTTCTTTTAATTTTTAAAGATTTGCCTGATTCTAAAGTTAATTATAGCAAGGGACACTATTACCTATAATGGGGAAAATGTTTTAAAATATTTTTAAAACTTTTTTTGGATGATTTATTGTGTATGCTTCACATGTGATTTCTATGACCAAACCCTAGCCTTCTTGCCATAGTCAGGGACTTTGTTCTTCTTACTATTTGGCTTCACTTTAAAATTAATATGGAAGTGATGCTTCCTTCAGCATTCACACAACATTATTCCTTGTCCTCTTTTTCCCTTTTTTTTTTTACCTCCATTCCAACTTGTACCAGCTTGAGAGCCCATTGTTACATTGTTAGTGTGAACATTTACACGTTGGAAATCAACAAATGCTACGAATCAGGCCTTGATACTGTTTTGTGGATTGTCTACATTTAAGAAAGTGATGAAGGAAATGTTAGTAATTCAGATTAAACTTAAAAATGTGTCATGTATATATTTTTTCCTTGAAGAGAAGTGGTTATTAAACACTGGCAAGCACACTACTCCCTCTCTGCCTCCATGTCTTTTCCTCATCAGGCCCTTTAGCTCAACAGTTTTGAAACAACTTCTTAAACTTTCCTCTCCTGCTTTCTCAGCTGCATTTTCTTCCCATTGACGTTTCCTTGGAATATGTAATCTTTTGTTGCATTTGGAGGGTTCCTGCCTCCCACTCCTTGCTCCCCCTTCTCTAATGGAGCATGCCAACTTGTGTCTTTTTTTGTAGAGAGTGGAAGAGGAAACCCTAGTAAAGAACAGCAGCGCCTGCAAAGATTACCTCATTGAAGCCATGAAGTACCACCTGCTGCCCTCTGCGCAGCGGACACTGATGAAGAGTGCCCGAACTCGGCTGCGGACGCCCATGAGCCTGCCCAAAGTAAGAGATGCCATGCCTAGTGCTCCTCTCTTGCCCTATCATGTAGACAAGATTTCTGTGTGACGATAGCCAACGTTTTTATAGCACCTATTATGTGTTGGGCACTTTGCTAAGCACCTTACAGTTATTATCTCATTTATCCTCATAACAACCCTGGGAGATAGGGGCTCCTATGACCCCTATTTAAAGTTGAAGAAACTGAGGCAAACAGTTTAAGTGACTTGTTACACAGTTAGGGAGTGTCTGAGTCCGAATTTGAACTCAGGTCTTTCTGACTCCAGACCAAGTGCTTTATCCAGTGGTTCAATTAATAAACATTTATTAAGCACCTGCTATGTGCCAAGGACTGTGCTAAGCACCATCCACTTCACCTCCTACAGTGTACTATCTATAAGTATATCACACCTTCTTTCTAGGGTTCTTTGGCTTCCTTAAAATATGTGTGTGGGTCTATAATTGTTATATAATAATTACAGACAAATATTTCCTTGTAGATCATGTGGATAAGAATTCCCTGGAATTAAGGTTTTTCAGATTTTGTGTTTTTCTTCCCATAAATTACCAAACACTTCTCATGCCCAAACGACAAATGCATTTGGTCACTTCAGAATTTTATTCAGTCCAAGGCGAGTTTAATAATCTAATTGTAGAATCAGGAGGAAAAGGCCTTCCTATAAATTAGATATTTTATTAAAATGGAAGACTAGATTTCAGAGTTATTTCACAGCAGAAGAGATCTTAACTTTGGAGGTATCATGGACCGCTTTAACGGTCTGATTAAACTTATGAGGGACCCCTTCTCAGAATTATGTTTTTAAATGCACAAAGTAAATTACAAAGGAAAGCAATTATATTGAAATTCAGTTCTCATGAGATATTTTTTAAAAATACAAGTTCACAGATGCCAAGGTGAAAAACCTTTATTTCACACCAGAACTATAGAAGATTATTTGATTCCTCCCTTACGCATGAAAAATTATTCCCAGTGATGCCTTGTCAGATGTCTCACCCCCTATAAATATCAGATAGACCAATTTTTTTAAAAAGTTGTTTTGGTTTTCTAAATTGTTGGGACAGATTTCCCCTTGTTTTTAATCAATTCATTTACCTTTCCTCCCACCTTTCCTGATTCTTAGACATTTCATAAATTTAACATCAATTCACATTGGATTTGAATCCCTGCTCCACCGCCTTGCTCTCTGTGACCTTGGGCAACTTCTCTTCTCCCTCTTCTTCTCTGGCTCTCAGTTTCCTCATTTGTAAATTGAAGGAGTTGAAGTAGATGAACTCCAAGGGTACTTTTAGCTTTAAATCTGTGATACTATGTTGTCCTCTTTCATTTCCTCCTTAACAAAACTGTTCATATTTTACTGCCTTGGTTTTCCTCATAAACAAACCCCCTTTCAGTTTTGTTTTTCCATGTGAGATTCTCTTCACTCCGTCTGAATCTTTACAATACTCAAGACCCTACCTTTTGGAGCACGTCTTGGAGATGACCTCACTAGGACATGTAGAGGATAAACTCTGATCCGCTGTTCCCTTTTATGACCTTTTTTTTTTTTTTTTTTTTTTTGCATGTACACACCCATCTTGCATTAAGAAATATGAGTTACTATTTTGTCCATTATTCTCGTGTGTGTGTGTGATCATAACTCCCCCTCCAGTATCATTTTCTCAGTAAATTCAGTATTTTGGATGTTTTCTCTCCAGTGTTTTCATTTTCCTTCTTTCCAAATTGAATTTCATGGGGGTAGTTTTGCCCATATCTTTAGCTCCTAAGAGTCTATATTGATATTATTTTTCTGTCTTCCCCAATGTTAACAGCTCTGAACTTAGAATCATTTGATGATTTTGCCAATGTGCTATTTACTTATCTTTCTAGAGAGTTAATAAATATTTTAAATTAGAAATGGACTTCAGCATCAGCCCCTGGTTAATTCTTTTATAAATTCCAGCCCACTAACACACTTCAGTTTGAATAGTGTTTCAGTGCGTATGAGGATGTTTCTAAAACAAAAAGAAGTCGCTAGTTGATTTGACTGATGGGTTTTAGTATCACATGCAGTTGTATTGGGCATGCTTTAAAAAAAAAAATACCCCTGCTCCCTATTATTTATAATTCTGTTGCCCCCTAGAGGTTGGCAGGATTTTCTCCTCTTTGAAATATTTATTCTCATTTTTAATAAGTAGCAAGGAATATAAAAACAAATATAAATTTTAAAATGTATAAAAAGGGATGTAGTGGATTACAGACAAGTTTCAAAGTCAAGAAGATCTGGGTTCAAGTTTTATTTCTAATTTACACTTAACCTCTTAGTGCTTAGATGAATTCCTGACACTAATGTGATTACACATCTAGACCACAAAAAAGTAGCATTCTTACCACAAGGCAGTTTCAAGGCATTCACTTCCTCCTCTGTTGTTAAAAATAAGTGTTCGCCTGTTTCAAATTTTCTGATCTCTCCTCAGTTCTCCAAGATTATATACAAAAATTATTCTAAGTGGGCTCAGTAAGTACATTTGCTAGTCCCTTAATATCTTAGTATGCATGCAATCTGAGTCTGCTAATTTTATAACTGTTCACCTTTTCCAAATATTCCCTTACCTGCTTTTTTTTAAGTAGCTAACCTTGCAAGTGTTCATTGCGTTTATATTATTTACTTTTTAAGAAATTCTTACAAAAACCAAATTAAAAAAAAATTCCATTTCTTGGCCAATTTAAATTTAGCCTTCCTTTCATACCTTCCTCCCCACCTACCTCTTTAACTAGGTTTGTTCTATCACTAGCAGTTTTCATTGTCTATTGGAAAAGACCCTCCTTGACCCCTTTTTTGGCACTTAATTCATTGTTACTGGCTGTAGTTTTATCTAAAGGCCTTTACAAGTGAATTCTGTATTGTTCCATTCACAGCTCATTTCTAGCCTATCTTTGTCGTTCCCAGAGTTCTTTGAATAGTACTTGGAAGAGATTTGCCAAATATTTGAGCAGTCTGTTGTTTTTTCTCTCACTCTTTCTTTCCATTCCCCTCTCTCCTCATCCCCTGTCTCCCCCCTTCCTCTCCTGTTCTCTCTTTCTCTATTTAAATAGCCTGGGTCATCTGGTGTCACATTTCTGAGTTGCTCAGGGTATGTGTAATCTTTGATTGTTCATCTGGGATCCACTGGGCTAACGGATTTCTTTTTTTGTTTTGTTTTGTTTTGGTGAGGCAGTTGGGGTTAAGTGACTTGCCCAGAGTCACACAGCTAGTGAATGTTATGTGTCTGAGGCCGCATTTGAACTCAGGTCCTCCTGACTCCAGGGCCAGTGCTCTGTCCACTGTGCCACCTAGCTGCCCCAACTAACAGATTTCTTAATTCCTTCATTTTCACTTTAATGAACTCAATGGAGAATATTCTTGTAGTCCACTGTAAGGAGCTGTGGAGGTTTTCTCTACTCCAGGTGCTGTTTCTTCTCCTGTTTGGGGATCCCAGCTCCTAATCTCAATCTTGGTCTGACATTTTTGTAAGCAAAGATACCTGCTTGGAGTTTCCTGCTTTTGGACAGGCATGTTTTTCTATCTGTTTTTCAGGAACCTGCTCCATGCTCAATTCTTGTATATGTGTATCAGAGCCCATCTTGAGAATTTGTCCCCCATAAGGAGCCCAGATTATCATCTTGAGGGTAGTCTTAAACATAAGCAACGTCTTTAAACACAAAAAATCTGCCAGCATTTCCCACACTTGGTGGTGATAACGTTGAAGATAATGATGGTAATGAGTCAGTGCCCAAGAACAAGAATTCTCCTGGTGAAATATATTTCAGGGTTCTTCTTAAAGGTGATTCTACCTTACACTTGGTACCCTGAGTCTTATTGTTTTCATAGCTGTTTGAGGTTTTTGTATTTTGCCGTGGGCCCACCACATTAATTTGAATGAGTGCTTTCACTTATCTCAGACCTTAGTTTTTGTTTTCTGGTTTGTTGTTGGTTTTTTTTTTTATCTTCACCCAGAAACCCTGAGGTTGTTTTAGGTGTTGCGTTTTCCTTTACTTTCAGCATTTTAATATATTCCATGCTTTTTACTGCCCTATTTTGAATCCCCTACCTATCTAGGACTTATAAATATTCTTACAAATAAAGATACATTTTATTGCTGTATTTCTTTACATTTTTTTATCTGCTGGAGTTGCTGAAATTGTTACTAAAGATGTAAAAGGGAAGGAAAATACAGTGGATAGAGCTCTGGACTGTTATCACGGAGACATGTGTTCAAATCCAGTCTCAGAGATTACTAGTGAAGTGACCCTGAGCAAGTCACTTAAACTCTGTCTGCCGCTTTCTTCATCTGTTAACTCGGGATAATGATAGAACCTATTTCCCACCATTGTTTTGAGGATCAAATGAGATAATATTTCTAAAGTGCTTTGCAAAATCTTAAAGCACTGTATAAATGCTAATTAATTCTTGGTCTTCAAGAGATGAAAAATGGAAGTTCAGAATAGTTAAATTACTTTCAGACAGTCTAAGACAGACACCTGAAAGGTCTTAAATTCTGACTTAACCTTCTATCAAGTTTGTTTCATCGGTGGCTTTTTAAAAGCCACATTTTGTTCAAAATATCATCCCATTTTTACATGCCTTTTAGTTGCTGCATTTCTAGTTTCCTTTTTTCCCTCCAGCCATTTGTATAGTATTCTTAAAACTGTGATCCTGTGAAATTTTGAAAGCTTAGAGCTTCAGAGTTTCTAACAACTATTTGTTGGTGGCATTAGAATGAATTTTTAGCACAAACTCCTCACCTCAAGCAATTATCAGTGCCCTCATTCTTTCCCCAAAGTTATTTTCTCTAATCTCGTTATTGCTGTATATTTTGACTCACAGATCATCATGCTTTTAGTATCTCTCCTGCATCATATAAATATGTGAGTATGTAAAATAGTACTACCACTTTACTGTCCTTAATAGATGAAAATATTGACTTTTCCCCTCCTTTTCTCTCCCTACCCCCTTTTTATGAGAAGTAAAATAAATTAACATATTATCATTGACATTTTTATGCATGTCTGGATTTATTTCCTAAAGATTTTATTCATCTGTAACAAGCATATGCTAATAGTATATCTGTACCTTTCAACTTAAACTGCCTGGCAGGCATATATTTGAACTCCAAATGATATGTAATACCACAATTCACAGTTGATAATACAATTGAGTAGCATTCTGTAATTTCAGAAAACTCATCTCTCACATTTTGAGGGACACACAACTTGGTCTTATTCTGTTCATTTGCACACAGTGCTAGCAGAATAGTAGGACCTAAACATTTTTTATACTTTAACTGTCTTTCACTTTTTTCTTCAAGGACTTTAAAGTTTCCTTCTTCTGTCTAGATTCTGACTTGCAGAAATAACTCATTTTCATTCATCTTATTAGAGATCTATGATAAGTAGGTCCTTTTTTTTCCTTAGGAAAGTTGTCTTCTGCTTCTCCCTTATCTTCCCATAATCTTGAGTACAATGGTAGGCACTCAAAAAATATTGTCAGTGTTCTGACTTTGCTCTATGTGTGACTCTGTATCCCTCAGTTTTTCTTTATTTTGTTCCTTTTGTCCTGTTTTCCCCAAGCTGCTTGTCATTCTCTGCAATGACAGAGCTGATGTTAAGGTTTCTCTCTTGGCATTTTTGTTTCTCAAGAGTCATCAGAAAATACATATACATCTCTGTAAAATGAAAACCAATTTGTTTTCAAATCTGATAAGAACTGGACCTATACAAAACCCCTCTCTTCAGGGCATAGGCTTCTAGAAAGCCTTTCTGTCTTTCCCTGATTTCCCATAGCACATGTTGATTATATATTGTCTTATATTATTCATTAATTGTTTCACATGTGTATCTTGTGATTTATAATCAGCCTGAAGACACGGACCAAGTCTTTTATATTTTATTGCTGTCCCCCAACTCAGAGCCTAGAATAATACAAAGTAAATTCTGGTTACCAATGAATACTTGCTTGAATAGGATTGAATATGTTTGATGCCCCCATATAGACTCAGAGAATAGACTACTGTGCCCGTGGTCATCATTCTTCCTAAAAATCTCTATCCTTTGTCTTATGGGAACATAAAAGGTCTCTCTACTAGTTGGGATTCATTATGGAAGTTCTCTTGTGAACTCTCATTTTATGCTTTATCTAGTTGTTTGTTTTTTAATTTCCCCTCCCTTTTCCCTGTTTTTCCTTTCCTTTCCTCTGCTTGACCTTTCACCTCCCTGCTGTAGCGCAGACCTATTGATCTCACATTCATCTTCTGATTTAGACATTAGAGTACCAATCCTCCAATCCTTGGGAAATTAGAATCCACTTAGGGTACCACATGAATACTTGTCAGGGTTGACTACATGCTGATGGTTTGTTTGCTTTTCTTGGCTTAAATCCTGCTTTTGCTTGAAGGATCAGAAACTTATCACAGTTTCTGAAATTCTTTACTAAATGTGCTAGACAGTAGGCTTTTAACCCTGATATTCCTCCCCCTCCAAGTTGATGTTTATTAAATATTGATTTAGAAGGTATTTCCCTCCTCACCCCTTTCCCCTTCTCAACTTCATTCCACCCTCATTATCTTAGCACTCTCTACCTCAAACCTTGTGCAGGACATTTAAAAATCTGTGAGTAGATGATTGTGAATAGTTGCTTTCATGGTTGTCCCCTTCTAGTTGATGGTGGTGGTTGGTGGTCAAGCCCCGAAAGCTATTCGAAGCGTGGAGTGCTATGACTTCAAGGAAGAGCGATGGCATCAGGTTGCTGAGTTGCCTTCAAGGCGATGTCGAGCAGGTAAGGGTCATTGTGCTGTGTTCATCCTCTGCTGTGGAAAGCTGATTGAGTCCAAGGGATTTGGAACTCACTGCCATTATAGAAAGAAAAGACTCTCCAATAGAAAAACTTGTGTTAAAATTGTTTGTTGACCAAATCTTAACTCTTTGTAGACTGCACTTTGCAGTGTACAGTTGTGTCTACTACAATTCTTTTTTCTTTTTTAACAGTTTCCTGTCTTTTTTTTTTATTTGAGTTAATCAGGGTTAAGTGACTTGCCCAGGGTCACACAGCTAGTAAGTGTCTGAGGCCGGGTTTGAACTCAGGTCCTTCTGACTCCAGAGCCTGTATTCTGTCCACTGCAGACCTAACTGTCCCAACAGTTTGCTGTCTTCTTCCCTTCTTTGCTCCCTCTTTCCATACATCCTAAGTGCCATCTGGAGTAAGGTGAGGAAGATAGTGAGGGATGGGTCAAATAATAGGATATAATTACTCTTACTACACGATTTGGGAATTCATGGGGTAGGGACACTTAGCCAGGTTTACAGATGAGGAAAGTGAGGCAAATAGGGTTAAGCAACTTGCCCAGAGTCAGTTTGACCCCAGTCACTTCCCTTGCTTTCTTGTAGCGTACAACTTCAGAGAAGACAACAGTGATAGGGGTTTGTAAAATTTGCCTCCCATATCCACGAATAGTAAATGTGTATACAGAACTTTAGGGATTCATGTCCTCCACAGTGAAGTGAATTTCAATGTTTTTATACTGTTGGCATTCCAGCCAAAAATACATTTAGATTAGGCTTTGATAGTATGTATTAATGGGTTTGGGAAGGCATGATTCCATTTGTGTACATGAGTGTATGTGTTATAATGGGCATATGCTGTATTACTTTTCAGTCTTCAGTTTCAGTCCTCAGTGGACTGAATGCACTGTAAGTTAGAGGCACAGATATAATGACTAACTAGGCATCCCTGAACAGGAAGTTTGAGGGGAAGGTAAGGACCTCAGGCAGAGATCTTGGGTTTTTATAGCTTTTTAAAATACCTTCAAGTTGCACAGTGTTTAGAGTGCAGGCCTGAAGTCAGGAAGACTCATCTTCTTGAGTTCACATCTGGCCTCAGACACTTACTAGCTGTGTGACTCTGGACAAGTTGGTTAACCCTATTTGCCTCACTTTCCTCATCTGTAAAATGAGTTGGAGAAGGAAATGGCAAACTACTCCAATATCTGTGCTAAGAAAATGGACTCCACATGGAGTCATGAAGAGTAGGACACTACTGAAGAGCAACAATAAAAATATCTTTGCATTTATTCCTTATATTTATGCTATATTTATTGGCCCCCTTAATAGAATGTTAATTCCTTGCATGTAAAAATTGTTTCGTTCTTTTTACTTATATCCCCAGTGCCTGGTACATGATAGGTTCTTCATAAATATTTATTAATTGATTGCTGTAACTTTTGTACTCAACTATAGTGCTTAGTTCATCCCAGCCCTGAAATCCTTTAAATTAAACCAATATCTAGTAAATGCCCACTTTTAAGACAAACAATGCATTTATCACACCCTAGATTTTGCCATTACTCACAAGTGTTGTACTTCAATAAAAAATTATGACATTCCTTAATCTCACTGGAAACTATGATTCCTTACCTCTCTATGCCTTACCACTCCTAAACCTATCTTCATTTTCATTGTAACCTTTCATCTCTACCCCTCAGTACTTTATTAGGCCATTACCCCTGTTACAAAATAAAAATTTAAGTTCCTTGAGGGTAGGGATCATATCTTTAATTTCTTTCTCTCTCCTAGTGCCTAGCGCATGATATCACACTGTAGGCAATGAAATGTTTGTAGAATAAATGAATGATATCTTAAGTCCTGGTCCACTAGAAGTATGAAATCTGTTTAGGAAAGAAGATATAAATATCTGAAAGCTAAATAACAATAAAAGATTTAAATAATTATTTAAGACAGTAGAAAAAGCATCATAAGACATGGTTAATTGCAAATAAATTGTGTTAGCAACAATTCTATCAAGAGAGAGGTCACTTCACACTGAAATGGTCAAGGAAGACTTTATGGATAGGGTTAGATTGTAAGCTCCTTGAGGGAAGGGACTGTGTTTTTATTAATTGTATTCCTAGTGCTTAGCACAGTGCCTATTACATAGTAAGTGCTTAGTAAATGTTTATCATACCATAAATAAACTCTTTGGGTAGAGCAAAAGATTCTTGTTGGTAGGAGCCCTTTTGAACAAGAGAATGACATGATCAAAGTGGTATTTTAGGAAAATCAGGGTAGTAGCACTGTGTGGTATAGACATGCCATCTCTGAGCACATTCCCTGCTTGTTCCTGAGCTTCTACCCATGATTCATGAAGGCATGTAATACAAATTTAATTTAAAAAATCACTATGAAACCTACAAGAGGTTCAGAATAGAAAAATTGAAGAAGAGATAATTCAGCTTCAAATAGGTGGAAAAACAGAGTATTAAGAGATAATTTAAGTCTATACACGTTCTTGAAAAAGCCACATTAATCAAATGGTGCCTGAAATCCACACCATAATATTTTGTATCTTGTATTAAACACAGAAAAGAATAAAAATTCAATAATTATCTAAGCATGCAGGTGAGCAGTAATTCTCCAGACATGTTCAGCCAGGGTATCAGCCATTGGGTATCAAGTACAAACCAGGATCATTTAGTGGGTCACAAACCAGTCTTCAGTCAGTGGTGGTACGTTGAGCATGATGTAGTTCTCATGGATGTGTTCCTGCAACAGGTATGGTTTACATGGCTGGCCTCGTTTTTGCTGTGGGCGGTTTCAATGGCTCATTAAGAGTTCGAACTGTTGATTCCTATGATCCAATTAAAGATCAGTGGACCAGCGTCGCTAACATGCGAGACCGGAGGAGCACACTAGGAGCTGCTGTGTTAAATGGCTTGTTGTACGCGGTCGGAGGTTTTGATGGAAGCACAGGTAAACTTGGTCCTGCCCGTCTCTCTTTTACTATGGCTACTCACCTGGTCAAGACAGATGAACAAGTAATATCAAACTAAACACTTTGATGTTTTAGAAGATTCCATTTTTTTTAATATAATAAGGATTTTCCCAAATAATCTTGTAAGAGTACTTATGATATGTACCAGAAAAAAAAATTTTTTTTGGCCTAGACCTGTGATTTTCTCGATGGAGGCACATCAGCAACTAGTCTGTAACTAATAGTCTTAGAAAATTGCTAGGAGGTCACTGCAGGCTTAAATGACACAGCCAATATTGTACCTAAGGGAAGAATTTAACCCAAGTCTCCTGACTTTAAAGCCTACTTTTTACCCTCTATACTATATCTATTTGCCTATTTTGATCTGGGCTTCTCATTACATTGGTGTAAAGAAAATCCAGTGAGAAAATTCACTTGGCTCATGCAGATCTTTACCTAATCTGCAATTTATGATCCTAGAAAGTTGCCTGGGGCACCCACTTAGGGTCACATAGCCAGTAGTATCAGAGATGGGAACCCATAACACCTGTATAAACTTGGTTATACATTGTTATTTTCTTTGTCTTCATATCATCCTGATTAGCATGGCTAATTTAAATGGCCCTGAAAACAATTCATAGTTAAAAAAAAAACAAAAAACCAACCAATTCAATTATTTTAAATTTTAGAAGGAGAAATAAAACCCAAATGGTCTGCAGATGATAGTGTTTGCCTTTAGAAATTTAGAAAGAATAATGATGTATTGGGGTTTGTTACAGGTTTGTCATCTGTGGAAGCATATAACATGAAGGCTAATGAATGGTTTCATGTCGCACCAATGAATACCAGGAGGAGCAGTGTTGGTGTAGGGGTTGTTGGAGGTATGTACTGGTAATTCTTTCATTCGAGCTTCCACTTTCTGGTTCTGGGCACATGGCTTCCTGAATCTTAGAAGTGGGGGCAATGGGATCTTCTTCCATACTCTAAAATTTAGAATTAGAATCATCTAATTTTGTTTTAAGAGTTGGAAAGGTCAGTAGAGATCATAGCTGTAGATCCATAAGGGCCTTCAGATGCCATTTTGTCCATCTCTCTCATTTTATAGATAAGGATACTGAGGCCCCAAGAGGTAGAAGGCCTTGCTCAAAGGCACCAGGTTAGTCGATGAACAGAACTGTTATGCAGCCTTATTTCCTGACATACAGAGACTGGTGCTGTTTTCATTATGCCAGATTCTAGCATAAATGGTAACCAGAAGGACATTTTAGAAAAAGTAAAGTAGTGAGTGCAAATTTAGAATTATCCTAGGTCCAAAGGCAAGGCAGCCATATTTCTCACAGTCTTCTTATTTTGGCTAAGAGAAGATTTGTGCCTTGGGTTTTTCCTTCCTACTTGTGATGTCTTCCATGAGCTGGGCCAGGCTTTATTTAGCATTGTTTTAAAATTTTCTCCATTTGACTTAGAGCATTTTGGTTTTTAATTTCCTTTTCCATGGTGCTAATCTCCCTCCTAGTGGCAAAAGTGTAATTAGCGAACTTTCTATCATCCAGATCATCAGTGAAAAAATATATTGCCACCCATAGGGCAATACTACCTGCAAGGCATCCCAAGATGGGGTTTTATCAGTTTGTCACTTCAGTGCAGTGAACATTTTATTGATTGCCTGCCATGGGCAAAACACCAGACAGAATAAAATCAAAGACAGAATAAAACTAATACCAGGCCTTAAGAGGGATGTTCTACTATGGGAGATAAAAATAGCCGTCATTTATATAGCACTTTAAGCTATGCAAAGCACTTTATAAATATTATCTCATTTTATTCTCATAGCAATCCTGATGAGGAAACTGAGGCAGACACAGGTTAAATAACTTGCTTAGGGTCACACAGTTAGAAGGTGTCTGAAGCAGGATTTGAACTCAGGTCTTCTTGATTCCAGGTCCAGGCTTAATTCCCTGTACCATCTAGGCGCTATCCACAAATCACTGTAATAACAAATCAGAATATGGTAAGTGTAAAGGAAATAGTCAAACAGAGCATTATGGAATATCTGAGGAAGGAAAAATAATTTCCATCTGGGCAGAGATAAGGAAAAGTTTCTTAAAGGACAATGGATCTTGCAGAAAGGGAAAAATTTCCTCTGGTATATGGTGCTGGCAGTGATGAAGGTGATGTGCTGTGCATTTTTGATGTGGGGGACAGGGTGTGTGAATGTGCTGAGGGCAAGAGAGGGCAGGACAAGATCAGAGGAATAAATAATCCACTTTGGCTGGAACATAGAGTGCACAAAGGAGAGCAAGTTAAAGCTGTAATTTTGGGTTAGAGCCTTAATTTTGGAAGGCTTTGAAACAGTACTGGCTGTAGGGTCAGAGGACTGGGATCAAATCCTGCCTCCCTCCACATACTCACAGATCCGGTGACACTGGCCTTTCTGCTGTTGCTCCCATGGGTTCTCCATCTCCTGCCTCTGGGGATTTTCACAGGCTGTCTTCTGTGCCTGGAATGCTCTCCATCTTCCTCTTTGACTCCTGGCTTCCCTCAGGCCTTTCTTATCAGTCCTCTAATCTTAGTGCCTTCCCTGAGACAACCCCCAGTTCATTCTGTATATATTTTGTTAGTGCATAGTCTCTTGCATGCTGTTTCCCATTTTAGATTGTATGCTCCGTGAGGGCCAGGACTGTTTCTTGTCCTTCTTAGTAACCCTGGTGCTTAGCACAGTGCCTGGCACATAGTAGGCCCTTACTGAGTGCTTGTTAACTGTCCAAGGTCACAACCTTAGACAAGTCATTTGTCCTTGCTTTGCCTCAGTCTCCTCTTCTTTAAAATAAGGTGGTTTAACTAGATGACCTCTGAGATCCCATCCAGCTCTCCACCTCTGACCCTTTGACCATCCCTTCATCTATAATAAGTGGTATTACTATTAGTCAGTGCTTTAAAGCACTGTATACAAAATCGACATTTTGTATTATCAAGGCAGAACTCATGTTGCTACTGAGGGAGAAGAGTGGTCCTGACATTTTTTTAACCAGGACAGTATCTTTTAGAAATCTGACTCACCTTGTGATCCTGCTTCCAGGCTTGTTATATGCTGTGGGGGGTTACGATGGAGCATCCCGTCAATGTCTCAGCACCGTGGAATGTTATAACTCAGCCACAAACGAGTGGAGCTATATCTCGGAAATGAGCACTCGCAGGAGTGGAGCAGGTAAATGTAGCCCCAAGTGAGCACCTGAACTCCAAGGGCAGCTTAATGCCCACAGATGGATGAGATGATTCATTGGCATCTCTTGTACTATCTGGAAAAAATTTCAGAATGCCAGTGTTAATGATACCACCTTACTTTATATGGGTTTGCTATGGTTCTTCTCATTCAGTTTGGTGCCCTAGTTTCAGAGCCCTAGCAATGGCTATTGAGGACCTTTTGGGATCACCATTTCCCTTGTATCCTACCAGATTCGGTTGTGCATTCATAAAAATTTATCTTCCCTGCCTGTGCGTCAGAGCCTGTGAATGTGAACATGTATTTTGAGCCAGCTTTGGGGTATGGGATGTTGTATAGCAGCCCAACTGTGGCTGGGCTGCAATTTACTTCTGTTTGTGTTTTCTAGGGGTTGGAGTTTTAAACAATTTACTCTATGCTGTGGGAGGTCATGATGGACCATTAGTAAGAAAAAGCGTGGAAGTGTATGATCCCACCACTAATACATGGAGACAAGTGGCAGATATGAACATGTGCAGAAGAAACGCAGGTACTTAATTTCATTTGAGAGAGGAGAAATCTTTATTGCAGTTGTCTTTAAGGCTTTTTACTAATAAGGCTCATAATTAATTATGTAAAAATCCAACAAGCTCATCATGTGCTCTAGTAATGATTTTCAGCTGCTAAAAGTAGCAAGACTTCCCAGTTGACCTGATATTTGTAAACACTTATAAGAATAGAGCAGTCTATAAATTAACATAATTTGGGATCTAGAAACGAAGTAGGAGAGGAAACAAGATGAAGAAAATTAATTTTGAGAGTGAACCATGCCATGCCTTTATATTTGTGTTCTGTTTCCTGCCTTCAGGCAGCTAGATGGCACAGTGGGTACAGCGCTGGTCCTGGAATCAGGAAGATTCATCTTCCTGAGTTCAAATTCAGCCTCAAACACTTATTATCTGTGTGACTTTGCACAAGTCACTTAACCCTGTTTGCCTCAGTTTCTTCATCTATGAAATGAGCTGGAGAAGGAAATGGCAAACCACTCCAGTATCTTTGCCAAGAAAAACTCAAATGGGGTCATGAAGAGTTAGACATGACTGAAAATGACTGAACAACAAAAAACTTGCTGTGGTTATGTTTTCAGAATCTAAGTTAGTGATGAGTTCCCCTGGGCATCCATATCAGACTTTAGATAATTCTCATCATTTTTTTTCTTCTCATTGGAATTATTTCCCTTTGGATCTTCAGAATTCTATTCTTGAGTTTCACCATCCCTCTTGGGCTGACTTCCCTTGTAAGAATTTTAGTCCATCGGGTACTACCTAACCTTCCTTTGTTCCTGCTGTGGCAGATTTCTGAATAATTGAAATCCCTTAACATTGCTATTTGATGCCACTGTGTCAGACTTGTGATCTGCTCCTGGGACTCTCACTGAATTTCTCTTTCTGACCAGGTGGCCAATAGTATACTCTAACAATGAAATTATTTATTTTTCTCTCTAATGTTCTTCACCCAAATGCTTTCCATCATTCTCTCCAGGTCTGATTCCCAGACCTGCATACACAAGTCTAACTTTCTAATATACTATACTGTGTTACCCCCTTATGCCCATCCTATTACTTTTGAACAAGGGTGGACTCATCCAGAGCCATATTGCAATCTAGACTCCATCCCACTAAGTCTCAATGATACCTTTGAGGTCAAATGAACCTCCTTATATTAGGCCTTCTGGTCCTCCTGTTTTTTTTCCTAAATATTGATCATTTGTGTATAGACTCTTGAATCCCTAGGTTGCTAGAGGCCCCATTATTGGATTTTGTCCCTTGTGATCTCCTGTTCTTCCTTCATTATAGCTACTCTTTTCTCTTATCTAGTTGGCTAAATGTATATAAACAGTTTTTTCTTTTCCTTGTCTTTTTTATTTTAAGGACTTTTTTTTTTTATTAGATTTGCAGGACATTAAGAAAATACATTCTTGCCAGCCTGGACATCCTTTCCCCTGGTCAGGCACTATTGCTGTCTTTTAAGTTGTGGTTCAGAAATCCACTTCTCATTCTGAGCCACCATCTTCTTAATCAGTTGTTCATCAAATGTACAAATACCACAAAGCTCAAAGGGCTAAGTAAGATTTGGAAAGATCTTGCCAGGCTGGAGCATTGGGCTTGAATCCAACAAGATGAAAATGAATAAGGATACATATAAAGACTTATTCTTGAGTCCCAAAAAGCAACTTAACAAATACAAGGTGAGGTTGATTATTACTAAAGCTTTATGTCTGAAAAATTATTTGGGAGTCTAAGTAGACTACAGGCTCATTCTGAATTAATAATGTGATATGACAGTCTAAAAAGCTAAGGCGATCATGTTTTCTCTTTATAAATATAAAAAATTTAAATTCTTTTTGTATTTATCTGTGTATATATACATATATATAAACATTTTTTTCTTACATTCTAAAATCCTCTAGTAAGAAGCATGGTGGGAGAGACTATGTACATAACCAGCAGAAAGTTATGGGGAAGTAACAGAGTGCCCTTAGATTTCTGCAGTTCAGCACATTTTTAGTAATTTGAATGAATGCCTGGGTGGCCTGCTTCTTTTTTTTTAAGCAATCAATCAGCAAGCATTTATTAAGTGCCTCCTGTATGCCAGGCTTTAAACACTGGGGATACAAATACAGTTGAGAAAGAAGACAATCCCTGCCCTCAAGGGGCTTACATTCTTTTTTTTAAAATTAATTTATTTTTTTAATTAATTAATTTCTTTTTAGTTTTCAGCATTCACTTCCACAAGCTTTTGAGTTTTAAATTTTCTCCCCTTCCTTCTCTGCCTCCCTCCCCAAGACAACGTGCAATCTGATATTGGTTCTACATATACACTCCTATTAAACATTTTCACATTAGTCATGTTCTAAAAGAAGAATTAGAACCAGTAGGAGGAACCACAAAAAAGAAGAAACAAAACAAAACAGAAGAAAAAAAAAGAGCAAGTAATATGCTTTGATCCGCATTGAAATTCCATAGTTCTTTCTCTGGATGCAGATAGCATTTTCCATCATGAGACTTTTGGAAATGTCTTAAATCCTTGCATTGCTGATAAGAGCTAAGTCTATCAAAGTTAGTCATCACACAATGTGACTGTTACTGTGTACAGCTTTTCTCCTGGTTCTGCTTGTTTCACTTAGCATCAGTTCATACAAGTCTTTCCAGGTTTTTCTGAAGTCTGCTTGCTCATCATTTCTTATAGCACAATAGTATTCCATTACATTCATATACCATAACTTGTTCAGCCATTCCCCAATTGATGGGCATCCCCTCAATATCCAATTCTTTGTCACCACAGAAGGAGCTACTATAAATATTTTTGTACATATGGGTCCTCTTCCTGTTTTTGTGATCTCTTTGGGATACAGCCCTAGTAGTGCTATTGTTGGGTCAAAGGGTATGCACATTTTTATAGCCCTTTGGGCATAGTTACAAAATGCTCTCCAAAATGGTTGGATCAGTTCACAACTCCTGGGTAGTCCACTTCTTAAAATTACAGATGACACAAGGCTGGAAGATATCAGTCATGTTAAATAATAGAGCTTGAGTCCAGAAAGATCTTGAGAGGTTAAGAACAATGACTAAATTGAATTTTTAAAAAATATATAATAGTTATAAAAGTTCTCAATTTGGGTTGAGAAAAAATCAGTTTTTCAAATACAGCATGGGGAAGGCTTAGCTAGAAAACAATTCTTGTGAAAAAGACCTAAATGAACTGTAGCCATCAACAGAGGGACATGGCAGCCAAAACATTGAACGTTTTCTGAGGCTTCATTAGAAGAGGCATCATGCCCTAAACAAGGTGGATGTGTGATGATTCCTCTACTATCTTTCCTCGTCAGTCAGTAAGCATTTATTAAGTACCTACTATGTGCATATAGAGATACAAAGAATGGAACAATCCCTACTCACAAAGATCTTACATTTTAACAGGAAAATAAGAATATATTTCAGTATGCAACTTGAACTCATTATGTCCAAGATAGAACTCCTTTCCTTCTAAACCTTGCCCCACTCCTACCTTCTCTATCATTGTGTAATATCACACCATCCTCCCACTCCCTCAGGCTCATAGCCTAGGAGTCAGTCGAGACTGTTCTCACCACCCACGGCCCCAATCTGGGCTGTTGCCAAGGCCTATTTCATCTTTGTGACATCTCTTGAATCACTTTCCCTCCACTGACACTGCCACCACCTTGGTACAGACCCTAATCACCTCATACCTGGATTATTTCAGTAACCTGCTAGTAGGTCTGCCTGCCTCAAGTCTCTCGCTACTCCAGTCTTTCCTCCATTCAGCCACCAAAGTGACTTTCCTAAAGTGCAGGTCTGATCATGTCATCCCCCCTCCCCCCAGTCAATAAACTCTAGTGACTCCCTAATGCTTCCAGGATCCTATACAAAATGTTTGGCATTCAAAGCCCTTCATATTTTAGCCCCCTCCTACCTTTCCAGTCTATTTACACTTTACTTCTTAATACTTAATCCTCAATCCAGTGACACTGGCCTCCTGGCCATTCCAGAACAAGATTCTCCTTGTCTCAGCCCTGGGTATACTCTCTGGCTGTCTCCCATGCCTAGAATGCTCTCCCTCCTCCACTTCAGCTACTGACCTCCCTCGCTTCCTTGTAAGTCTCAACTAAATCTCTTATTCTACAGGAAGCATTCCTTAACCCCTCTTAATTCCAGTTAACCCTCTATTATTTCCTATTTATCCTGTATATACCTTACTCTGTATATATTTGTTTGCATTTTGTCTCCTGCATTAGATTGTGAGTTCTTTGAGGGCAGGGAATATCTTTTACTTCTTTTTTATCCCAGGTTCTTAGCACAGTTCCTGGCACATGGTACATGTTTAATAAATGTTCATTGAATGAATGAATATACACATACACACATACATACATATATAGAGTTGTGAGGGACTGTCTGATGTTGGCTACTACCAAGTAGGGGTTGTGGCAAGATGGGGTAGGAACTGGGTATTAGGAAGTAACTGGAGCTCACGCTCACGAGGCAGGGGCTGTGGTAGGCGGAGTTGTGGTGAACTGGGATGGGCTGGATACGGAGAAGTAACCGCAGCTCACCCTCCTGAGGCAGTGGGCTGTGCCACATGGGAGTGGAATGGCAGAGGATGAGTTCCCTTTGCTTAGTCCCCTCCCTAAATGCAACGACAACCCCAGATGCCTCCTTCCTGTGTCCTTCCTGACTTCCTGGGTCACGTACCTTCCCTTTGTGTAGCACTGACCCCAGACGCCTCCTCCCGGTATCTGGGCCTGATTTCCTAGGTCACGTACTCTCTCTTTGTCTATGCACTAATCCCAGATGCCTCCTTCCTGTATCTGGTCCTAGCCTCCTGCGTCACTTCCTCTCCCTTGGTGTGCTAAACTCAGACATCCCCTTCCGGTATCTGATCCTACAATCAATGACTAGTAGGTGGGCTGAGGAGGAGGGGCTAAGTAGGTACTTAAGGAACGGTCCTGGCCAGAGCACAGCACTCTCT